TTTAGTTTCTATGTGATTCCATAGCTTTTGTCAGATTCTTAAATTTCTGTGACTTTTCAAAAGATAAGGCTCCTTTTAAGGGAAAGGAGCCTTGGGAATGGTGCCCCAATAGAGACTGTGTGACTAAAAATCATATTGTTCTGCCTTTGACATACATTTCTGTAGGTCATTGATACTTATAATTAAGAAAATTCAGATAGTTGCATTTGTGCCCTCGTCTTTCTGGCTTGCCTCTTGTTTAATATCTTGATTTTAACAGAATCTCCAACAAACTTTGTGTGTGTGTGTGTGTGTGTTTGTTTTTTTGCTTCTCCCAGATCATTATTGTCCACAGAATTCCCTGTTTGCAGTTGGAGAATTATTGTCTTGCAGTCTCCTGCTGTCCTGTCTCCCTGCCTGTTCCCTTTGTTCTCTTATTCTGCTCATTCTCTTCCAGAAAGTAAACTAGCAATATGGACAGATAAGATCTAGAAAAGCAACATTATAATTAACGTAAGTGTGCTCTTCACTTTATCAAATAAGTATATATATGATTTGTTTCTCCTGGAAATTCCTATGTAGAGTCTCTATACTCTGTTCCCTGTGGTAGTTCCACTGAATGCTCCATTAAAGTCGTTATTTCTTTTTGGTGAAGCTGTTAGGGGCAGAGAATATTTAAACCAACTAGTAAATTAGGACTTTTGATAATACCCTTCATTACTTTGGATAATAGTGACTAGCCATATGCTAAGTCAGTTTAGCCTAGAAGATTTAAAAACATAGCAGTTGAGAAAGACATACAATTCAGCAGACTAATTTTGAAGATTATAACTTCAGATTCTACCATTTTGAATAAAATACTAAACTTTTCTGTTCTGTTGTTACTTGGAATGATGTTCTATCTTGTCAGGCATTGTGTGAAATTGCTATTAAGAGTGAATATAGTGCTATTTTATTATTTTTTGTAGTGCTATTCTAAATATTTAATGTAGTGTTAATGTTCTATTTATAGTAGAGTAATAGTAATGGTTATAGATTGTAAATACCTTTTGAGACCTTTAAAATGAAACCTGTGAAAGAGAGAAGTGTCCATGTATATAAAATCCTCCAAAATTTACCTTGTGACTTTAGGGCTTTTATAGGCCCCTAAAGACTGTTCTAGGTTGATGACCTATGAAAAGAAGTCCTGGTCAAGAAATTGATTTAAGATTAGATACTTTTACCTATGGATTTCTGGTATTTTTTCAAATGTGATAGTTTCATGTCTTCTTCTTCTTTAACAATCCAGTGTATCTGATTTAATATACTCTTCATTCTATCAGTTTCATTTGGTTCATGTCACTCATTTGTAACTTTAATTTAAACTGCATTCATTCCTCTGCAGAAAAATCTCATACTGAATTATTTAATTCCTCTTTCACTGTATTTGAACAGTTTTATACTCTGAAAGCTATCAGTTCCTCTTAACAGTTTACTTAATAGTACTTCTAGGAATTGCTTAAGTGGGTTGGAGTAAGGTCGTATGGCTCCTAGAGTGTGTACCACTCTATTCCTAGTCAAGGGATGGTACGCTGGGGTAACCTTAGAAAATTGTAGTCACTCCATGACGATAGGAATTGCTTCTGTGATGATTTATGTTTCAACCAGTGAAGTTACTAAACAGGTTCACATTTCAAATCTGAAAGTTTTTATTTTTTAAATACATTTTATTGATTTTTCTACAGAGAGGAAGGGAGAGGGATAGAGAGTTAGAAACATCGATGAGTGAGAAACATCGATCAGCTGCCTCCTGCACACTCCCTTCTGGGGATGTGCCGGCAACCAAGGTGCATGCCCTTGACCGGAATCGAACCTGGGACCCTTCAGTCCTCAGGCCGACACTCTATCCACTGAGCGAAACCGATTTGGGCTGAAAGTTTTTATTTTTTAAATCTCTGTTGCTGTAACTTAATTTCCATCATTGTTAGGGTGAAATAGTTATTTCATAATATTTTATTAAATAATATTTTTGAACTTGGTACATATCTTTGTTCTATATAGTGCACAAAAAAAACTTTATGTCCTTGTACTGTGGAGTGCTCTGCCTTGAACTGTTGTGATGGAACAACTAATAAGAATTAGGAAATTGCCAAAACCGGTTTGGCTCAGTGGATAGAGCGTCGACCTGCAGACTGAAGGGTTCCGGGTTCGATTCCGGTCAAGGGCATGTACCTGGGTTGCGGGCACATCCCCAGTGGGAGTGTGCAGGAGGCAGCTGATCGATGTTTCTCTCTCATCGATGTTTCTAACTCTCTATCTCTCTCCCTTCCTCTCTGTAAAAAATCAATAAAATATATTTAAAAAAAAAAGAATTAGGAAATTGGAAAAGAGCAATCTATTAATTTTTAATAAAATAAGAAAAAACAAGGACTTTAAGATAATCCCAAATCGATAGATTTTCTATTTATGGGAGAACATACCTAAATTTCTTTTTTTGTATTTAAGGTCCCTAAGTGAATCCTGACTTATGTGATAGTAAAGCATTCACTTTTATTATTATTTCTTTATTTTTATTTATTAACTAGGTTAATGGTTTGTTAGATATATGATATGCAAATATTTTCCCCCCAATATGTGGGTTATCTTTTCACTCTATAGTGTCATTTGATGTGCAAAAATTCATAATTTTGATGAAGTTTATTTTTCTTGTGTCATCTGCGCTTTTGGTGTCATAATTTAAGAAACCATTGCTGCCGTGGCCAGTTTGGCTCAGTGAATAGAGCGTTGGCTTGTGGACTGAAGGGTCCCGGGTTTAATTCCAGTCAAGAGCACATGCCTGGGTTATGGGCTCCATCCCCAGTGTGGGGCGTGCAGGAGGCAGCCGATCAGTGATTCTCTCTCATCATTGATGTTTCTATCTCTCTCTCCCTTCCTCTCTGAAATTAAAAAAAAAAGCAACCATTGTCAAATCCAAGGTCATGGTCTATTTTTTTGTTGTTGCCTGTGCTTTTAGTATCTTAATTTGAGAAATCATTGCCAAAACCAAGATCATGAAAACTTTTAAGCCCTGTGTTTTTTTTAAGAGTTTTATAGTTTCAGATCTTACATTTAGGTCTTTGATCCATTTTTTAGTTAGTTTTTGTGTATGGTTTATGGTAAAGATCCAACTTCATTCCACCAGAAACCTAATGAAGTATTACACCGAGTGCTTAAGCCTTAGAAGCAATGCATTCAAAATTGGGGGGAGGGGGAGGGGCGTGGTATTTCCATTTGATTATAAATAGGAGATCCTAACCAGTGGAATTAGAATTTAAAAAAAAAAAGAAGAAACAAAAGGTATGAAGAAATATGAAGTATAAGGGAGAGACAGAATTACACTACTGATATGGAGAAATTCAGAGCCAGCTACAAAATACTAGAGAGCTCAGCAAGATTGCTGAATGTGACAGTAGCATTTAAGAAGTCAACAGCAACAGTTGTAAAGTGTGTGTACAGTGTGTATGTTTCTGTTTTTCTGTGTGGCAAAATGCATTTTCCAAAATGGCTGTACCAACATATTTTGTATCACACGTGCTCTTTGCACAATGTGACTGAGATTTCTCCAATTGAAAATGGATCTGTATTCCCTTCTCTTGCATCTTGGAAGGCACAATGAATAAAAACATGAACTAAGAAGTTAACTGTTTTAGAGCTGGTAGCGGTCGTGGCAGGCAAGGGAACCCAGAGTAAGGATGTTCATCAAGAAATTACTTGAATAATTTATTTGTGCTTAATTTCTAGAACTATCTGGTGTCTGACTTTTAAAATGCTTTTTCTCACATGTGGTAGTGTGAAAAGCCCAAATTCAGTTTTGCTGTTAATACATACTTTTTTCTGGTATGTTTCTGTTTTTACCTGAATTCTTAGAATTATCCTATATAATAAAAGGCCAATATGCAAACTGACCAAACTAGGGGGGCAGATGTTCAACACAGGAGCTGCCCCCTGGTGGTCAGTGCACTCCCACAGAGGGAGTGCCCCTCAGCCAGAAGCTGGGCTCATAGCTGGCGAGTGCAGCAGCAGTGGCAGGAGCCTCTCCCGCCTCCACGGTAGTGCTGATGTCTGACTGCCCATGGGGAGCGGGCCTAAGCTGTCAGTAGGACATCCCTCAAGGGCTCCCAGACTGCGAGAGGGCGCAGGCCGGGCTGAGACCCCCTCCCCCCCCCCCAATCGC